TCGCCCTCAGTGCGTTCGACCATCGGCGCCAAATCCTTAGCCGGTCGTTCCGAGAGGAACTTAAGTGTTGATTTTGGTTTGGCGCTCGCTGGGGGTTGGGCCCAGTCAGAGGGTGCATCAGTGCGATGAGACTGCGCAAGGTTAGGATGTCGTTTATGAAAGGCTCTAGGCCTCGCAGGAGGTTCTTGGTAGGATTGCCCGCGGAGCCTTGGAGGATACAGTCCTGCGCACGGAACTTCTGTCATGGGCACAAGTGGCAGAGCGTTGGAGGCTCTTAGGGGTGCAGCTAGCAAGCTTCAAGACCATCACCTTGATGGAACATCCAGGACGCTGTCTCTCATCCCCCCTCCTCCTCCTCCTCCTCCTCCTCCTCCTCCTCCTCCTCCTCCTCCTCCTCCTCCTCCTCAGAGAAGGTTTTCCTCCTTGGTGCGGCTTTTCAGGCGTTCCAGAGCGCTCCAGGAGCGTTCCAAATACCTCCAAGAGAGTCCAAGATCGTCCGAGACAGCCCAAGAGCGCTCCAAGACGCCCAATACAGTCTCTGGATGGCCGGAGGCGCCTCCGAAACGGCTCATGAGAGCTGGGCCACTTGGTTGCCTGTAAAGTCCGTCGTGCATGCCATCTGGCACTGTTGTTTGCCCCTGGAGGCCCTCGATTTGGGGCTCCGTGGGGTTCACGCTTGTTTGTGTACGGTCGAGCACCCTTGGTCCTGCATTAAGGGCCCCTTCAATGCTCTGTGGGCCCCTCTCGAGAGTAGATCCTAACCGTGAGGAGCTTTGCGCTTAACCGTGAGTGATTGAGTGGACGCTGTGAGTGCACGCTGTAAGTGCACGCTGTAAGTGCACGCTGTGGTGAGCGCGAGCTGTGAGTGCACGCTGTGAGTCCACGCAGTGGTGAGTACACGCTGTGAGCGTACGCTGTGAGTGCACGCTGTGGTGAGTGCACGCTGTGAGTGCCAGCTGCGGTGAGCGCACGCTCTGAGTGCGCGCGGCGTCGAGGGCTCGCTGAGCTGATGAGCGCGCTCGCACAGCTTGCGCTCGCAGCGTGCGCTCACAGTGTGCACTCACAGCGTGGGCCCACAGCGTGGGCTCACAGCGTGGGCTCACAGCGTGGGCTCACAGCGTGGGCTCACAGCGCGGGCTCGCAGCGTGGGCTCGCAGCGTGGGCTCACAGCGTGGGCTCACAGCGTGGACTCAGAGCGTGGGCTCACAGCGTGGGCTCACAGCGTGGGCTCACCACGGCGGGCACGCACAGCAGCGTGGGCCAATCACACCGTGAGTGCACGCTGTGAGTGCAAGCTGTGAGCGCACGTTGTGAGCGCACGCTGCGCGCCACCCGGTGAGAAAAACCGTGAGCGCACGCTGTGAATGCACGCTGTGGGCCCGACGGAATCTCGAATTGCACACGCGCTGGATTTCTCCGTGCGATCCGAGAGTGATTTCCTCTGTGGTGTGTGTGCGTGCGTTTGTGTGTGGTGGTGGTGGTGGTGGGAGTGCTGGTGGCGGTGATTGTGGTGGTGGTGGTGGCGTCGGTTGTGGCGGTATCGTTGGCGGTGGTGGTGGTTGTGGTGGTGGGGTGGTGGGGTGTTGGGGTGTGTGTGTGTGTGTGTGTGTGTGTGCGTGTGTGTGCGTGGTGGGTGCTGTGCGGTGTGCGGCGTGCGGTGTGCGGTGTGCGGTGGGCAGTGTGTGGTGTATGGTGTGTGGTGTGTGGTGTGTGATGCGTGGTGGGTGCTGTGTGGTGCGTGGTGGGTGGTCTGTGGTGGGTGGTGGTGGGTGGTGTGTGTGTGTGTGGTGTGGGAGGTGTGCGGTGTGCGGTGTGGTGTGTGTTGTGTGGTGTGTGGTGTGTGGCGTGTGGTGTGTTGTGTGTCGTGTGTTGCGTGTGGTGTATTGCGGGTGGTGTGTTGCGTGTGTGTGTGTGTTGCGTGTGGTGTGTTGCGTGTGGAGTGTTGCGTGCGGTATGTTGCGTGTCGTGTGTGCGTGTGGCGTGTTGCGTGTGGTGTGTTGCGTGAAGTGTGTGTGTGTGGTGTGTGGTGTGTTGCGTGTGGTGTGTTGCGTGTGGTGTGTTGCGTGTCGTGTGTGGCGTGTGGTGTGTTGCGTATCGTGTGTGGCGTGTTGTGTTGCGTGTGCGGTGTGTTGCGTGTGATGTGTTGCGCGCGGTATGTTGCGTGTCGTGTGTGTGTGCGTGTGTGCGTGTGTGTGTGTGTGTGTTTGGCGTGTGGTGTGTTGCGCGTGTGTTGTGTTGCGTGTGCGGTGTGTTGCGTGTGGTGTGCTGCGTGGGCTCCCAGCGTGGGCTCCCAGCGTGTACTCACGGCGTGGGCTCACAGCGTAGGCTCATAGCGTGGGCTCACCGCGTGGGCTTACAGCGTGGGCCCACAGCGTGGGCTCGCAGCGTGGGCTTACAGCGTGGGCCCACAGCGTGGGCTCACAGCGTGGGCGCACATCGTGGGCTCACACTGTGGGCTCACAGCGTGGGCTCAACACAGCGTGGGCTCAACACAGCGTGCACTCACAGCGTGGGCTGAACACAGCGTGGGCTCACAGCGTGGGCTCACAGCGTACACTCAACACAGCGTGCACTCACAGCGTGCACTCACAGCGTGCACTCAATCACTCACGGTTAAGCGAAAAGCCACTCACGGTTAAGCGAAAAGCTACTCACGGTTTGGATTCGCCTTCGCCCCTCTCAGGCGCGTTGGGATTACGGCTTCATCGGCCTTTCGTTGGGCGTGGCCCGACGGGGCCGTCATCAACCCGTCCGGCCTCTGCCCCATTGCGCTCCAGACCTTAGTGTAGCGTACTGTGCAGGTTTGGCAGTGTGCTTCGGTGGCAGATCACGGGGCGGAGTTGGCGTATGGATTGTTCCTGGGTCCCCTGAAGGCTCTGCTCGGCAGCGGCAGCAAGCTGACAGTTGAGCAGAAAGCACATGTGAAGTGCACGATCGTTGGAGGACAGTGGCCTCAGAAGTGACAGTGGGCGGCAAGACGACGCTCTGCTGTTTGTTGTGTCCCGAAGTGGAAGGCACTCGTTTGCACCAGCACTGTTCCTGTTCCAGGCTTGAGGCCATCGAGGACCCGCCTCATCTTCGTGCCAGCGCTGCAGCTGCTGCCTCAGACTTATCGCTGGCGCTTCTGTGTGCCGAAGTGTGTTCAGTCCCCATCCCCAAGCGTGTGAGACCTACCCTAGGCCCCGCGGTCAGAGGAATTGGGACGACCCACTGACTTCACAGGTGAGATATACACACGGATGGTTCAGTTTTTAGGCGCAGCATCCCACTTTTGCCAGTGCAAGTTGGGGGTGCGTTGCCCTGCATTCCGAAACAGATCGGGCCATGGGTCATGGCCAGCGTCTCGAGGCCATCCTTGGACCCTTTGCAGAGTATCGATGCAGCCGAGCTTCTGGCTGTTCGGCATATCTTGCGATTTGCGATGCCCTATGTTCGCGTGCTTACTGATGATTTGTATGTGCACGGCGGCTTCCATGGAAGAGGGCGTGAATGCACTACAGTCGGGCCGCTGAAAGAAGAAACGCTAACTAAGGAACGAAGCCCCTTCTTGGCCCTGCGAGCGCCTCCGTGCCCCAGGAGGGCAAGAGGAACAGCACTGAAGGAACCTAAGGAACATCGAGTCCTTTCCGAACCCAGACTGTTGCTTATTTCAGCGTCTTGACTGTACGACATGTCTCTTCTCAGACAGCTCCAGAACGACTGGAGAGGAGGTTTTAAGCTGTTGAGAATCAAGGCCACGCGGCACCAGTTCATTTCTCAGAGGCAGCGTTCTGGCAGGCTGATAGGGGTGGCCCGCAATGCTGTTGACGTTTCGCGTCTTGACCTCCGCCAGGCAGGAGGCAACATTGTGACTAACTGGAGGGGTTGGAGCGGGCATCCCCGGGAGGGGCCAGCTGACTGCGGGCATCCTGCAAAGCAGCTCCGAGGCAAGACCCCCGTCTCACAGCTAGTGTTCGTTAGTTGAGGAACCTGCGCCCTCTGACATCATCAGTCGTGCGCTGGAGGCTAAAAGGAGGATGGGCGCGGGGTCCACGTTGCAAGCCCTTGCCTCGCTGCTCGTTCCAGCTGCATCAAGGTCCGCTCGTGGTTGGATGCGCTCGATGTGCATTTGCTGTTGCCTCGCGTGTCTCAAATCTGGCCAAGCCTTGTCCCCCACATGTTTCGGACTTGGAAATCAACTGTGTCAAGAGTCTCGCGAAGGGTAAATTCAAATTCGGTGTGAAGGTGTATCGAGCCTCGGAGCTGTCTAGACCACAGGTCTCTAGTGCAACACCCCAACGTGGCCTCGGCATGGCTGGCTCCGTCTTGCCGCAAAGTTGTGCCCAAGAGGAGGCGCTGGGCGGAGCGAAGCGCGGCGTCAAGAAACCGAACAAACGTGGTGCGGTTTTGTGACGTCCGGCCCTTTGAACGAACAAGACGTTACGGAATGAGGCCGGATGCTCGAAACATGTCGCCGCGCCGTTTGTTCCGAACGCGCCCAGGTAGACAGAGCCGGCCCCGCGGCAACCCCGACGGCGAACCTTCCGTCCAAGGCAGAGTCTGCCCCGGCTGGAATCCGAGGCGCCCTCCCCGAGACGCAAGGCCGCGCGTCGCAACAAGCGGCGCGGCGGTAGACTGAAGATCGTGCAGAGCTCAGCCAAAAACTTGGGTTATAAGTCGGGCCTGTCCACCTACAGACGAAAACTAAAAACAGACCCCCAAAATACTGCAAAGATGCCCCAAAATACTCAAACAAAAATCGTCCCAAGGATTCCTAAGGATTTCAAAGGATTTGCAAAGATCCCTAAGGATTTCACTACCTAGGAATCCTTAGGCATCCCTAGGAATTTTTAGGAATCCTTGGAAATCCCTGAGAATCCCTAGGAATCCATAGAGAATCCCTGGGAATCCTTAGGAATCCCTGGCGAATCCTTAGGAATCCCTGGCGAATCCTTAGGCCGACTTAAAACTTGGGACGAACGAGCGCCCGCCGCGCTGAGAGCCCCCCTGGAGGGACCGGCCTGGCCCGCGGCCCGCGGGTCCAGCCCCAGCTCGGCGGGCGTCAGCCCCAGCCTCCGCGCCGCCCCGGCGACGCGGCAGCCCTCGGGCGCCTGCGCGGGCCTCGGCAGCAGCATGGCCGCCTGCAGGCTGCTTTCTTGCGCTGAGGGGCCCCTGCGCCGGCCCAGATCCAGGGGCCTCGAAGAAGGAAGCACTGCAGACGGTAGGTTCCTCCAACTCCTTCTCCCCCTCCTCCTCCTCCTCCTCCTCCTCCTCCTCCTCCTCCTCCTCCTCCTCCTCCTCCTCCTCCTCCTCCTCCTCCTCCTCTCCCCTCCTCCACCTCTCCCCTCCCCTCCTTCCTCATCCCCCTCCCTCCTCCCCTTCCTCCTCGTCGTCGTCGTCGTCCTCCTCC